GTCACAGTGCGTCGCTACAGGAGGCGATCGCTTCATGAAAAAAAATCTCCCTATTTTTTGGTTTTCAAACTTGGGATCTCTGCTTTCGCCTATTCTCGCATCCTGGCTAAATTGTTCTTTTATGCCGAATAAATATTATTCAACAAAAATTACAAAAAAAAAAACACCTGCAGAAAATATCTAATACACTATTTAGCTTGAATAAACTGTGCAATAAATGTGAATATTATGGATGGGACATAACCATATAGTCTAGTCAAAAAATGAGCCCCAGAAATACTATAATTGCAACAGAAATATTTTTTGTGGAATCTGTTCATGAAATACACACAACAACATAATAATAGTTTAAAAAAATCTGATCAGGAGAACATTAACATTGTTAATTTTAAAGATATTTAATGAGTCAACCTCCAACGGTTTATTGTGTTGCATCACCCAACTGCTACATTGAAAAGTATAAAAAAAAGCCTGTTGTGCAATGAAAAAATGGTTAAGTCCCAGACGCATGGGCACAATGATCAACGCGAAGATTTGCAGGCTGTCCCGCATTAATTTTTATTTTCAAATAGGTAGTTCGGTATGAGTGACTTAAATTATACAATTGGGATTTTTGTTTTATTTATTTTGTATTATTTAAACAAAACCACTTCAGGAATAGGACTATCATCATTCAATCAAAAATATATTTAGTTTAATACCAGTAACAACTGTCAATTGTGAAATAACGTTGTTCTGGGTCAAATTGCAAGGGTGAAGACAATATGTAAAAAATACTTTAACATAGTAACCAACCTGCGAGATTTGAAATGCATGACTGACTACACCAGTTAGCTGGGGGGGGGGGGGCGCTCCAACGATCTGAGCATTTTTAAGCTGTTTTAAAACGATTGCAGGGAGTGTTTATTGACAATACCGAATATATAAAAAAATATTTTTAATATAGCCACGTATAATTTGAGTTTCAATGTAAAGCTGGCAATTGTTTGGTCCAAGTAGGTAAATGGGAAAGAGAAGTTTTCTATGGTGAATTTATTCTCAAACAAGATAACGAAAAAGCTCTCTGATGACTCACCAATATACTATATTTTTAATCAAACCAATTTATGATCATGCATTTGTGTCTGCAAAATGCGTGTTTCATCCAAAATCACTTTGCAATGCGAAACCGTCCCGACCCGCATGATGCAAGATGGTTGGTAACTATGCTTTTAAACTGTATTAGTATTAAAATAAAATAAAATTTCTAAATTACTGTACTTTATAATAATAATAATAATAATAAAAACTTTATTTAACTATGGAAACACTTGTTCACTGCAATGGTGTTTTTCAACATGGCCGTAAAGGCATTGTACAACTCAACAAAATATAAATTAAAACAAAAAGGTAAAAATAGACTTATAAAAAAAAGAAAATCACATTAGGGCCTACTGAAAGAAACTTAACTACATTAACTATAGTAAACTGAATTATCGAAAATAAACTTTAAGCCCAGCATGATTTAAATGAAGAGTTTTGCAAATGTTTTGTTCGAAGCTTTTCTGTTTAATCTACATTGACAGAGGCACAGAGAATTGTATAAAAAATGGTTTTAATTTCAATTACACCGGTATAATTGTAGATTAGTTACCAACCGCCTCCTATCGTGTGGGACGGTCCCGCATTTCAAAGTGATTTTGGTTGACACACACATTTTGCAGAAACACACGTGTGATCATAAATTTGTCACGCATTTGGCACAGGTCTGCGTGATAACGAATTATCACAAATAAGGAAAAATGTATCTAAATTAGAAGAAATTAGTCTTATTAAAAATATACAGTAAAAACTGTCATGCAGTTAACTTGACTCATTAGATAGTAAAATCAACACAGAAATATTTACATGAATACTTAATTCAATGATGCATTACTAAAAATTTATCAGTATGCCTATTCATTTTTTGTTTAAGTAATGAAATGTTTGTGTATATAGTAGAGTGCTCAAATTAAATATAATGTACTCAAATCGAACGTAGCTTTATTAAAAATATTTTTCCCTCAAATCTCACTCCCTGAAATTGTTTTAAAACAGCTGAAAATGCTCAGATTGTCGGAGCATCTGGGCCCTTGACACAAATGGGGCTAAGCCTCTGGACCCCAGAAGGGTCCCCCACCCCCCGGCCAACTAGTGTAGTCACGTATTTCAAATCTCACAAGTTGGTAACTATGATATACTGTAGGCTACTTTTATGAATTTGGGAATAAAAAGTAAATAATGAAATGCAAAATGAAAAGATGATGCATTTTAATTGATGACATTACACATAACACAACTTTATTAATATTGGTGGTAAAACCACAAAAAAGATCTGTGGTACAACCATTGTTTCCAGGAGGTTCTTTATTAGGCCAATACCTACAATAAAATAATAATATTAGGTCTACCTAATGATTAACAAAGACATAATAAAATTATAATATTAAATTATTTATTAAACATAATTTGTTAATCAATTATCAAAAAATACAGAACAGAGTGTGTTGATCATTGTGTTACCAGCGCGTCTGGTTTAATTTAACTACGTTTGCGCACAGGCGCCTATCTTATTTTTGCATTCCCAACACCGGGCTTTATATGCAGAAATCGGTGATGCAACACAATAAACCCCTGTTCTTAATTAATTTATTTGAAGGACCAAATTATTTTAGACTTAATCTCACGGACTTCAGATAATTAATCTCTGAGTTGCAACCAAATAGAACAAATTAGTCATCAAAGATGATGTCATCACATTTTCGCCGAGTCGGTATTAAAGATATTTATACCTCACGAAGTCCTATGCTAAT